CCAACAACTACGGGCATAGGTGTGACATGGACATTAAACATGATCTTTTTTTTGTCCATGTTCATCTTAAGACCCATCCATTGGGAGGCACTATTGAGGTCATTGAGCATATTGCTTAAGTCCTTCAGCGATTCTGCCATAAGGACTATATCGTCGGCAAATCGAAGGTGAGTGATATACTCGCCATTGATATTAATACCGTATCCTTTCCAGTCCAGTAGCTTGAAAACGTCTTCCAATGCAGCGGTGAAGAGTTTCGGGGATATAACGTCACCCCGTCTTACACCTCTCTACAGTTGGATTAGTTTTGTACTTTGGTTCTGTACTCGGATAGCCATCATAGCCCTTAACCATTCAACTAAAAAAATTTTTAAGATTAAACGAACTACAGAAAATAAAAATTAAAACATAATTTCTAGAATAACTTATTGTCAACCGTTCACTTAGTTCTAGTATTATAAAAAACAAATCAGCTGCTATAATAACGCCTATTCTAATCAACTACAGTCTGTCTGTCTACAGATTTTCTACTATATAAAAATTTATGTTTGTTCGTACTTTCTACGATGTCATACCGTTCATCAGATTGCGGTCAAACTTAGTCAACTTATTGGTTGCACTTGTGCGAAGGTTATACGCATGGTACAATTAACTGACACTAGGTGGCGTGCGTATTATACCGACTATTTATTTGAAAGTTATATATCATTTTAATTCAATGATTGTATTATCATTCCTAATTAAACAATATAATAACTGTTCCACATTTTTAACGATATTTCCACAATTATTTCTTCTGCGGCAGCAATGCACCGGGTACGATTATATAAAAAATATAAACTTTGAATTACATAGTAATCAGTTATATACAACGTAATTTTCGAAATTGAAATTACAATATTTAAAAAAATAACTGAAATTATCATAAAGTCCTACTTTCTGTGGTATCGTCACAAGAATGCTGGCTACGTGTCCTCACTGAAAGGCTATACTTAGCCTTCAAGCGAGGAAACAAAAAACTAAACAACTTCTTATTACCAGCAGCGATGATCAGTCGCAGATACAGTTTTTTAGGAACTACACCACACGTGCACCCTACGGACCAATAGTCTCTACAGAAATTTGCACAAATATGTACTTATCTTCCAGATAATCTGGGCTATTTACTTGGTTCAGTTGCCTCTAATGCCACCCCTGCTTTAGACGAGGTACCCCTGAGATGGGATGCTGTCAAAGTGTTCGCAAGTAGTATCCCACACTAAAGTTTTATCTCTCTCTCAAGCAACTAAACCCATACCGTCGGGTTTCCTGGTATCGTCTCTAAATATTCTACAAAGATCTTAAACCGAAGAAACATTTATAGAGATACGAGCTGTACTACGGACTCCCCGAGCCCGATATGTGAATGGAGCCAGGAAAAAACGAGCACTTGGAAGCAGCAAGTGGTGCAGCCTCACCAAAGTCGCGAAAGATAGTCGAGTGGCGCATCGCCAATCGTCATACCAACACTCCTCTTCCCTTACGACTCCACCTCGACTACAGCAGTACAGGGAGAGGAATCTCCTCTAGCCGCAGCCCACTAACACACATCCAACGTGGCTCGACATCATCAGGCGATCTTTCGACACTTGTCTATGGCGCTTGAGTTTGGTTGAAAATGAGGAAAGAAGAAATAAAAAAACAATCGAAATAATAATCTAATACTTTTATACTTACTGGTTACTGGTACCAGAAAACATTGTCGGTATACTGCACTTTTTCAAAGTGGTGCAGTTCTCATGTCTAATAAAACAGTAGTCTGTAAAATGTTTGGAACAAATATGATAATTTTGTTTCGGACGCCAATTCACAATATTTATGCTTTTAAGCCATAATTTTAGTCTAGGTTCAGTTGGAAACCTGTTAATTAAATAAACATTTGATAATCATCTGTTGTTGGCGATTTTGTATGTTAACAGATATGAGTAGGAAAGAACATCGATAAGTATTACAGACAAGGAACTCGACAACCCTATTGAATTTTATTGTTTATCAAAACTCAGTAATATACACCCAAACATGTTGGTATATACGATATTAAGATTAGTAACAAATTTTTAAGTACTTATATTATCAAATAGTTTTAATTTCTTTAATATTTGCTGCAAATTCACTTACTTGTGAAATGTTATACCACTTCGCTTTTGGTAACGAGTTTTATAGATTACGCGCACTCTCATTATTAATAAAAATAATTCTTATTATGTAACTAATATTATACACAATCAAACAACAAAATACTTTCGTTTTTTAGTTTAAAAGTTCAAAATACAGACTTATGAAATAAGACAACAGACTTTGGCATATTATGTCAATTTTATTTTTCAAGACATCCTTTAGCGGCGCTTCAAATTGGCACAGTCATTTTGTATGGTATAGCCAGTCCAGTGTTCTTGTATATATAGAGGTCAGTGGTATGTACCCATCTAAAAAATATTTTAGCGTCAAGTTTTTAGATTACAATAAATATTACATGTCAATTTTTTAAATAAAATGTAGGTAAATGTTTATATAAATGTCAAATATCAAAAAATCAAAAAAAAAATTGTTAAAAAATTAATAAATGTTAATGTCAAAAAGATCAGTTTTTTTTTTATTTCACCATTGTTAAAATAGGAGATGATTTTTATTTTCGGATGAATACATATACAGTACAACATGTTACTATATTGTCATAAACTCTATCAAAATATTAGCAAAAATTTAAATAAATTGCAATTTAATTATTATGAAATATATTAAGTTTCGGCTTCAATTTTTTTATCAAGAGCTAATGGCGTAATAGAAGAAAGATGTCGGATAATTATTAATTATTTTTAAATAGAATAGAATATCAATGCTCAGTGAAATTACAGCAGTTCATTCGTTAAATTTACAATCTAGAAACTCTGACGCTATAAAAGGTACTTTCTGCAAGAAAATCATTGAGGCTTTTTTTTAAATCTTGGTAAAGAAAGTGCTTTAATATGCTGAGGAATTTTGTTATATATTTTGACACACATATATAGACAGCTTTTATTATACTTAGATAATCTAGGAATTGTGTCGATTACAAGTTTTTCGGGGTATCTATGGCTTCGAGAAGATATACCTTTTGCTTTAGTAAACAGATGGTTGTGTTGTTTAACGAACAAACAAATTTCATATATGTAGAGCGAAGAAAGGTTTACATGAATCAAATGGCGCTTTAAGAGTCAATGCTCGTAGACATTTTTTTTGAGTGATAAAGGCTTTATTTAATTGAGAACCATTTCCCCAGATAATTAACATGTAACGCAGAATTGAAACTACATACGCATGATAAACAGAGAGGGCTATATTAATTTTAGTGACTTTTCTAATATACCTTAAGGCATATACAAATTTATTTAGTCTATCGCACACTGACTTAATATGAGCCTCCCAATTAAGGTTTCTATCAATTACTAAGCCAAGAAATTTAGTTTGCGTCATTTCTTCAATTTTGGTTTCGTTGTAATATATGTCAAGCTTATTCGTTTTCAAATTATCAAATTTAATATAATGAGTTTTGGTAAGATTAACTTTTAAATTATTTATATTTAACCATTCTATTACTGATTTGATTGTGTCATTTATGTCAGATTCATGTTTTTTAAATGAATGTTTCCTTGGGTTAGTAACAATTGTTATTGAAATATCGTCTGCAAACATAGTACATTTAAATTTAGTTATATTTGGAATATCATTTATATATAAAATAAAAAGCAAGGGCCCAAGAATGCTTCCTTGTGGGACGCCAAAGTTGTTGTTCCTAAAATCCGAATAATAAGAAGTCAGTTCATTTTGGTTATTGAGATTTTTTATTTCAACTTTTTGTTTTCTGTTTGACAAATAAGATTCTAGCCACTGCAAAGGAATTCCTCGAATGCCCATATTTTCCAGTTTTTAAGAAGATTTTATGGTCTACGAAATCGAAGGCCTTACTTAGATCAAAAAACAATACAGTGGTTAGATATGAATTATTTACACTTTCTAAGATGGATTTAATTAATGTATACGTGGCTAAAGAAGTAGATTTATTTTTATGAAAACCAAATTGTTGTGGACTGATGACACTAATCTTATTACAATATTCAGAAAGGCGCAAAAACATGCACTTTTCGAATATTTTTGAGAAAATTGATATTAATGCAATAGGTCTGTAATTATTAACATCATCTTTTTCACCTTTCTTGAACAACGGTTTAATTATTGATACTTTAAGTTTTTCTGGGAAAGTACCTGTTGAAAAGGATAAATTTATAAGATGTGTAAGTATTTTTATAAAATTATCGATGGAAATTTTAATAATATTGTAGATATTCCGTCATAGCCAGTTGTTTTTGAGTTATTAAGAGATATGACTGCATTTCTAACTTCTTTTTCTGACATTTCTCTTAGAAACATTGACTTGAGCTCTGTAGAATTAGTTTTAAGTTTATTATTATTAGTTATATTATTATTGATGTTATTGTTGTGAGTCATGTTAATAAAAAAGTTGTTGAGGTTATTTGCTATATCAGTTGGGTCAGTTAAAATAGTATTGTTATCTTTTATATTAATAATGTCAATATTTTTTGAATTATTACCTATTTCGTTATTTACAATTGATTATTAGTTTTTTTCCCCCTATTTTGTATTCTTTAATTGATCGATTTTGTATTGGGGAAAGCTTGTGTGGTCTATATACGTTTTAATTATAATATGCGAATACATTTTAATAGCTTTGTAGATTTACCGAACATAGCCTCTGGTGGTGGTGCGCCGTGACAAGCGAGTTGGCATCTTCTGATTTGTTTCCGTCCGCCACACCTCACGGCACCCGCGGGACATGTGGTAGTGGATATTCTTACATCGCCAGATTTCTATGTAGAATAACAATTTTGTAATTAGTTAAATGTATAAAAGCTGTAGGTGTTCCAAACGAAATAAATAAAAAAATATATGTGGGTGGTGTTTAGGTGGTCCGTGCAGGTGGGCGAGCTGGGCGACGCGGGGCTGTGCTGCGCAGCGGCTGCGCTGGCGCTCACGCCGCGCCTGCTGGCGCGCGTCGCGCCTCCCCACTCCTTCCAGCGCGACTACACTGGCGCCTTCCGGTACCCACTCCTACGTTATACTATCCATCCGTATTATACGTGCTGGAGCCAGACTGCCGCTATATTATACTTGTATGCGGTTAACAACATCTATCCTCAAGTAAGAATCAATATGCAGATCGTCACTTCTGAAGACTTAAAAGAAATGGCTCGTTTCCAGTTAAAAGGGTCTCCGGTTCTCTATACTCATCACGCGAAATACAGCAGCATTAAGGAGCTATTTTACGCTGGTCTTCTGTGAGAGTATTGTCCTTCCCCGGTGGAGCCTAGGCATTCGTACTATAAGCATTATTTAGCTGCAAAATGGATGTAACTCGTGGTAGCAATTTGTGGTGGTGTGGGCGCAGGTTCCAGGTGTGGGTGTTCGGGTCGTGGCGCGAGGTGGTGGTGGACGACAGGCTGCCGGCGCGCGGCGGCCGCTTGCTGACCAGCCGCTCCGCTCTGTCACACGACTACACACTGCCCCTGCTCGAGAAGGCCTACGCCAAGTATGCACCTCTTCAATGTCTCATGCAACTACACAATCAAGTTCTCAATCAGTTCTTATCAATCAGTTTTTCAAATCATCGAGGGTTAACTGCTAGAAAATGCCATAAGGCATTAATGTTGCCATTTATACATAAATAAATAAATAATAAAAATAATCTAATATTTAACTTCTTAAGTTTTGCTTAAAGAAATTCCTTTATTTCGCAATACAGAATAAAATAAAAACTTTTATTACATATATAAGTTAATTTTATTGTTTTATTTCTTTTAATTAAGGACTAAACTAGAATTTAAATTAATGCCTTGCACCTTGCAAGCTTCAAATGCCACAACTTGGCGTAAATAAGCCCCCGTCCCGAGCATAAGGACTTATGCCCGCGAGTAAATTGGAAAACTGGATAGGGTCGCGACGGCACGTTGCAAGACCGAATCTACAACCAAAACCTCGGCCACCCTAGGCACCCCATCCGGTCCATACGACAACTTAACAGTGCGCCCAAAGCACCAATACAAAGTCAAAGCGTTAGGTTCTTTAACTAACACGAGGTCTCTAACCCGAGGAGGATCCGTCTTGTCAGACAACTTAACGCTCTGCTGCAAAAGATGTCGGTACTCCAGAGACCAAAAAAAAACTCTGAGTCATTTGTTGCAGCAGGTCAAATTTGCCCAGCCACGAAGAGTTTGTTTCCCTGAAGGGGTACTCGAGCAGGGCGTTAAGCGGCTGTCCAATCAGGAAGCGACCCGGGGTTAGAACCTCCCAATGATTCGGATCGGACGAGAGGGGACAGAGCGGCCGAGAGTTGAGCGCCGCCTCAATTTTACAGAATACAGTGGTAAGCTCCTCAAATCTCAAAATAGTCTCGCCGATAACGTGACGGAGATGCGCTCTTGCAACCCTAACCACCGCCTCAAAATCGCCGCCCAGCGTGGGCAAGCCGGAGGGTCGAATTTCCACTGGATGCCCTTCTTGGACATCGCAGTACCCAAATAAGTCCTATTGCTGGACAGAAATTCGACTACCTCCTTCAAATATTTATCCGTGCCCCTACAATCCGTTCCGCAATCCGACCGGATCCGGTCCAGCAAACCGCGACGCGATACGAAGCGGCCCACCATGGCCACAAAGGCTTCAGTGCTGAGAGCACTTACAAGTTCTAAGTAAACGACCCTAGTGGCGAGGCACACGAAAACGCACAGAGAGGCCTTATGTGAACGCGCGTTACGAAGGCTAGGGGACTTGACGAGGAAGGGGCCAGCAAAGTCGGTTCCGACTCCAGCGAATGGTCGGATGGCCCTGACGCGGTCGGGTGGTAAGTCACCCATCATCGGCTGCGATATGGTGGCCTTCAATTTATAACAAGGTAGCACTTAAAAATGACGCTCCGAATGGTGCGTCGGCCAGCCAAAATCCAAAACTCCCGCTGCAAAATAGCCGCATTCTGAACATGATGGTGAGTTACCAGCAAACGAAGCGCAATATTAAAGCACAAGAAAAAAAACACAAAAACAAATTTAGCTACATCGTAAAAATGTAAAATGTCACAAACTCTTATAGTAAGCTCTACTAACAATCTTTTAATATAACGTTGAATGTAACGTTTGTTGTAACGTTCGAATATCTCCCACAAAAAAAATTGCACACACCAAACCACCACTCAATGCGGCTAATTTGCAGCGGGAGTTTTGGATTTTGGCTGGCCGACGCACCATTCGGAGCGTCATTTTTAAGTGCTACCTTGTTATAAATTGAAGGCCACCATATCGCAGCCGATGATGGGTGACTTACCACCCAACCGCATCAGGGCCATCCGACCATTCGCTGGAGTCGGAACCGACTTTGCTGGCCCCTTCCTCGTCAAGTCCCCTAGCCTTCGTAACGCGCGTTCACATAAGGCCTCTCTGTGCGTTTTCGTGTGCCTGGCCACTAGGGTCGTTTAATTATAAAAAGTGTGTACTGTATGAAATTATTGACTCGTGATAAACTCGGTCAATGCCGTTGCGGCAACTATTTTATAATAAAAAATATGGTAATTGACTGTAAGTACCGATTAAAAAATATTAGTTACAGTTGTTTATTAAGCTATTGCATAGCTTCTATCGGGGGCCTTGAGTGCGGGAAAATCCAGAAATTTCGTAACGAAAAAAAACCTCACGCTCTCCGACGGGCACGGAGGTGTGGCTTGAAGGCCGTGCATTGTCTAACGATGGTCTAACGTCGTTTCTTTTCCTCAGTCTTCGACACGGTGTTTGTGTATAAAGTGTTTTGAAATTTTGAATATGAATGAACAAAGTGCATTTATTATTAATGAAGAAAGTCACGAAAAAATAGTGAAAGAAAATGAGTGAGTACTCTATATACATACCTACATTTTATTATTATCACAAATGCAGTACTAATTTTGAATTGAAAATATAATACTGCTATAAAGATAACCTAAATTTTTGATATTAAAATGAGCGATATTAAAAGTAGCCCTCTTTATATACACACAAACACACACACGCGTATAGTTTAAATTCTCAATTTAGATTCTCAATATGTATATATATACTCGATTGACCGGACTAATTGTTGCCGTTAGGGATTCGGATAATCGAAAATCCGGATGATCGAATGTATGAAGAAAAGCGGGTTTTGTGCATTTGTAGTACATATGTACATACATAATGTTATATGTTTATTAAAAACAACAATTTCAACGAAAATCAATGTTTATTAAAAAAATTATTATTTTTTAATAAACATTGATTAAATTCCATGAAGAGATATAAATCTATATAACCATCCGTTACTTGCGACAAACGAGCCGCCGTCACCTAATTTTTTATTTAACTGTAATGCTTTTTCACAAAGCAAAGGGCCAGATATCATTTGCCCAGTTGATCGTTTTTGTAAAAACCAACAATACAAAGCGTCTTCTAATTGCCAATTTACTCGCGGACATAGGTCCTTATGTCCGGGACGGGGGTTTGTTAGCGCCTGATAGTAGATCGTCTTATCTCAAGCGGTGTGAAGCGACGATTAGTGAGGTGCGGGAGGGGGAGGCTAGCTGCATTTGTGCGCGCGATCGGTCACCCCTAAAGTTGGGCGTTATAACATACAACAGATAATATATTTCATTATATATTTTTAATCTTACAACACATTAGAATAATGAACCATTGACTGTTATAATATTATATTCATTATCGTTAGAAAGCGTCATCTGTTTACGTTTACGGTCCAACCGTCGCGTCGGCCGAGACAATGGGAGTCAATAAAATACTACCTACATTCATTATGCCACAAGGATTGCGTATAGCTTACACTAATTTAAACTCTAAGCTAACTTAATAAGAGCTTATTTTACTAACACAAACGCGAAGCCGGGTTGTTCATATATTGAAAGTCTCCTTGTTTTGTCTTAGACTTATGTTAATAGAGCGTGCCATTTGAACTTAAAGATAATTAATTGGACAATAAATAATAAGTGACAAATCTTGCCGTGGAGCGTGGAACTGAGTAGTTGCGCGTCTTGTTAAAAATTGCCACGTTACTCACCATTCACGGTCCGGTGATACAGTATTTTTCACAAATAGTGAGTTCGTTATAACGCGGGTTCGGTTAAATCTGGTTGAATTTGATTGGATTAACCTAAGTAACTTGAATTAATATCAAAGAAAAAGAAATACTGAATAAGTAAAATAAATAAATAATTATAATTGCATAAGTTGATACAAAATGCTATGCTATAGCTATACCGCCCCTATTTTTTTATTTATTAAAACAGGTTGCAACCATACTATTTATTTATTTATACCACTATGTTACCGTTAATAGATATAATCAATTATTAACCAACATCGGTTAACAATCGATTACTGTGAAACATTTAAAATATTTATGTTTACTTCAACACTTCATAAATAATGAAAAATTATATCAAATAGATTATAGTACATTAATTAGATAACATAAAATGACACTCCATCCTAAGAAAACTTGTATAAACTTGAAGATCGAAATCGTTTAGTCGCTATACTCAATACAACGTACCACAGTGAGAGCGGGTGAATATGAAATAAATTATCGCTCGCGTAAAATACCTAAATTTGCGTGACGCCGAAATGTAAGAGAGCTCTTAATAACAACTTTTTCGTTATATTACTTTAAATATGAAATAATCAATTTTAGAGCATCGCTTCTTACAGTAGGAGTCAATAAGAGTAGACAAACGTTATATGAACTTTACAGTGAAAGGTCACATACGGTGAAACCTCACATCTTTGCCCACATATTTCGGTTTTTATTACTTTTTTCAAAAAATATCCACTTTATATTGATGGTTGCTAAAGCTTTAAACGACACTCTATGCAACAAATAAACTGTCAAAACCAGGTGAATTAATTCCTAACAGATGCTGAGAAAAAAACAAAAACAGACGCGGGCAAAGTTATCTCCACTTTCTTACATCTTTGCTCAACCTAAATTTCTCAGCGAAGCAAACGATGATCAAGTATAAGCTCTATGATTTTGATTTTAAGATATATTGTTATCAAACCGACAATATTGAATACCAATACATTTTCAAATAAATAGAAGTCCATTTTAAGTTTTAGTGGCGGTGGGCAATGTTATCACCACATTTAGTCACACTTTCATACTATGCTGTGCCTCAGATGAAAGTAAAATAATAAATTGATTTTGAGGCATTGTATTTTTTATTTTTAAAATTTAAAACAACAACTAACTAAACAACAACAAAAATCAAGAAAATCAATGTTTATAGGTAGGTAGTGTACCTATTAAATATTAATAAAAAATAAAAAGGTCTCTGCTAACGTAAGCGTGCCTGTTAGTTACCTACCTGAGTATTAGTTTAAAAAAAAGTAAGCAGCGCAGCAATTTTTTATCACACGCACCCAAGGCAGATTATCGCTCCTCATACAAAAAAAAAATAGCAAGATATCTCTTCTAGAACAAAAAATACCAAAATTAACATATAACAGCCTACAACATTACCCTTATAGCGCTTAGTTCAAGAATTACCTTCTGAAATTGACAAATTAAAAAAAACTACTTACTAACAGTCTTTGATGTTACCCTTACGATTCTAGCTAATAATTATAGATATATGGTGTATTTCTTGATTATGTTATATGAAGAATAGTAAAGTAATACCTTTATTAAAATCTGTACTAAACACTGGATCTCGCTAATTTTAGACTTATTTCTATACTGCCAACACTTAGTAAAATTTTTGAAAAAAATATCTTGACCAAATGTTGATTTTTTAATATAAATAATTTTCTACATAAAAAACAATCACGTTGGACAAAGGATCGCTCGGCAACTGATGCTGGTGTTGAGCTAATTAAATATACTTTCAATGCATGGGAGAATCCGCAGGATGCTTTGGGTATATTCTGGGACCTACCCCAAGCCTTCGATTGTGTTGTTGAAATTAATATATTAACTTTGGCCTCATTTATAAAAATGTACGTGCACAAGAATAAAAGTGGTTTTATAAAAATAAGTGATATTCATTCTATAAATACCAGTAACAGACACAATACAACACATGTTTTGCCTCTACACGAGGCATCCTCAGGTGATGTAGACTCCGGGGTGGCTGACCGCTAAGCTTAGCGATAGTATTATCGTCGATGTTTTGTCTTTCCTAGAGTAGCAGTGGTGCTGGGATCGGTGGTGACGGTATTAGTGCACGCAATTGAGGGAGGGTGGGAGGTGATTTTCGAACTAGGTAAGACATATCATTTTATTTTATTTAGCGGATGGTTGCAAAGTAACTCTTAACATCTTTTATTTTATTTTATAATTATAGGATCCCAAGGAGATGGTAGCACCCAGCCATCTTCTCTATTGAAATTAGGATGTTTTTGATTTCAATAGCCTCGTGAATCATCCTTGGAAGAAATCGGTGTTCTTTGGCGAAGATTTGTGGTCTGTCAAATCTGATATAGTGCCTTGGTGATTCTGTATGTGTTCACAGACTGCAGATTTCCGGGAGCGTCGATTCTGATTCTTGACATCGGCAATAAGTTCTTTAACGCGGGTTTTTATTGATCTTTTAGTTTGTCCTGTGTAAGAGGGACCACATTTAAAATCAAACTTGTGCACTCCTGCATCTTGCAGAGGGACATTAAACTTGACTGTAATAACAATTTAGTAACCTTCTTCAGCGGCTTGAAGCATGTTTAAACGAAAGCACCCTTCAAGATGTAGCCAATCTTGTCAGTGACACTTCTGACACATAGCAGTACAGCAGGCACACGCTCGACCGTGGCCAGACTCTCTCATTCACTGTAACGCAGGAGCGGGAACTGAAGCTTGTTGTCAAGCAAAACTTGCTTGACATGTTGGAACTCGGTGGCCAGTTTTTTACTGTCACAAATACCTCGTGCTCCCTGAAACGAAGATTTAGCCACGGTAGCGAACTATGAAGTATGATGGTAAGAATCACCGTTTAGATATCTATCTGTATGGGTCTTTTTTCTATAGAGATTGTAGCGCAAGGTGTTATTAGGTTTCCGAATTACTAACATCACAAATTCCCGCTAAAGAACACCGATTCATTTGATGACTCCGTGGCGCAGTGGCTTAGTAATGAGTGGCTGCACTGGGGGTCGCGGGTTCGAATCCCGCACGGAACAAGTATTTGTATGGCCTACAAATAACTGTTTCGGGTCTGGATGTTTATTCTTATGCAATTAATGTTTGTAAACTACTCCTACGATAGAGGAGAAAATCCTAGTGTAAGAGTAACATTTTTAATAAAAGAAATAAATCAAAATCATACTGCGAAACCGGAACAAAAATTAATAATTAATAGAATCAGGCGTTACTTTACAGAAATCCATTATATGAAAGTTGGTAAGAATTACTTCGCCCACATCCATTCAATAAAATCAAATGATGTTTCTTGCCTAGTTTGAAGAGCACCTCCCGCCCTCCTGCAATTGCGTGCAACTAATCCGGTCACCACTAACCCCAGCACCACTACTGCCAACACCACTACACAAGGAATGACAGACCATCGACGATAATACTACAGTCGAAGATGTGTCTATGCTAGTGGTGACGGGATTAATAATTTTAATCTGGAGGTAACCGTGGTTAACTATTACTTTGGGACGTCGAACACCTCAGTCCCCCCCCCCCCGTGATGATGGGTGCTGTAAAAAAGCTCGAAACGCCGGGAATATAAAATAAGTTAAATTACGCGAAAAAATCCGTAAAAACTAGTTTTATTTAATTGCTGTTCGAGTAAATATATAAAGTTATTTAATTTTCTACATTAAAAAAACTTTAGAATTGATTAAGAATAATTTTTTCATAAATTTTACTAAGCGTTGGCGGTACAGAAATAGGTCTTAAATTGACAGGGTGGAATGTACTACTACCAGATTTAAATATAGGCATTAATTTCCTATGTTTCATTAAATCAGGAAACGGACCAATTTCGTATGTAATGTATTTCGTATATAATGTGTCGCCGGGGTGTCGCAACAGGCTGTACGGTTCGTACGCGGCACTACGCGATGGCTCGTGCGCGCGCGCGCTGCAGGACCTGACGGGCGGCGTTGTGCAAAGCTTCGCACCGCCGCGCCAGCCGCCCGCGCTGCTGCTGCGCGTGCTTAACTCTGCCGTGCCGCGCTCCACGCTGCTGGTCGCCACCGCCAAGCCGGTACGTGCCTTCCAGTCGCACCTCGTGTCACACGGGAGTTTGTACAGTTGGTACGTGCCGTCCACGTACGCTTCTCGTTGCCACTAATCCAGTGGTGTGGTAAATTTTACCAAATCTCAATAATGAATCTCAATAGGGACAATATCTTAATAGGGTGCAAGAAGGGTAGAAGAAGAAGGAGGAAGCCCTAATCGTGCACTAATTAACAACACATACACTAAACCATGGTGTTTCAGTTTTTTTTTAAATATTAACAATGCTATAAACATTACTAATATTCCCCTTAACCACTCGTGGTAAGCTTAACATAAAAAAAAACATAAACACTCACGCCTGTCACCCAGAGGGGTAGGCAGAGACTACAGACTTCCATTTAGCACGATCCTGACATACCTTTCTCGCCTCTTCCACATCCATATACCTACGCATACATGCTCGTCGGTTAAGGGTACTCTTAATTTGGCCCATTTTTAGTATATCGCCAATTTGGTCGACAAACTTCCGCCTAGGACGTCCCTTTCCGACTCTTCCATTCACTTCTGCAACATATATTTACTTTGTCAGTCTTTCCGCATTCATTCTTTCTACATGACCAAACCACCGAAGCATTCCTTTCTTAATCCTGGTCACTGCATCATCTTGCAAACCACACTCTTCTTTTATCACACAGTTTCTCACCCTGTCACTCAGATTCAGCCCTAACATACTCCTTAGCGACCGCATTTCTACTGCATTTATTCTACTCTCGTGCTTCTTCTGCCACACCCAACTTTCACTGCCATACGTTAAAGTAGGGACTAATACAGCACTGTGAATTGCTATACGTGCCTTTTTTGATACATTCTGACTTTTCACAATAGAGTATAGAGTGCCATTTACTTTATTTCCTGCATTCACTCGTCGTTCAATATCCTTATCATATCTCCCATCCCTGCTGAATACACATCCCAAATATACGAACTCATCCACTTGCTCAATTAACTCTCCTTCTATTCTTATTTCACATACCGTTTTGCTTTCATCTCTTTCAAAAACCATCACTTTCGTCTTACTTGCGTTCACTTTCATTCCCCTTTCTTTTAATGACCTGTTCATTAATGTAACCATCATTTGCAACTCGGCCGCCGACGACGCAAGTATGACTTGATCATCGGCGTACAAAAGGCATTTGATGGTTAACTCACCCATTCTTAATCCGCATTCTTCAACTTTCAAATTTTCCAAACAACTGTCCATAAATAGGTTGAACAACCACGGGGAATCCTTACAGCCCTGTCTGACACCTTTATGGATGCCAAACCAGTCCGAGTAGACCCCGTTGATCCTAACACAAGCACTCGAGTGCCTATAAAGAGACTCCAATGCCTGTATCAAACCAGCGCTCAACCCAAATGCGTTCAGCGTTTGCCATAGCACATCCCTATCCACTCTGTCATAGCCTTTTCCAAGTCCATGAACGCACAAAAAACTATTTGGTTTTTCGCCAAAAACTTCTCCGCGATCATGCGCATGGAAAAGACTTGATCTGTACACCCCATTCCCTTTCTAAATCCCGCTTGCACATCCCAAATTTTTTTCATCAGTTTCTTTCATAACTCTTTCAATTAGTACCTTAGCATACAGTTTTCCCACAATGCTAAGAAGGCTGATACCACGGTAGTTTTTACAGTCCTGCTGTGACCCTTTTCCCTTATATATTGGGACTATCACGGCTTTGCACCAGTCTTCCGGTACCCGCTTTAGTTCCCAACATAAATTAAACAAGGTGTACAGCAGGCCTGCCACCACGTCCTCTCCAGCCTTTAGCATTTCGGGTGAAACTCTATCATATCCGGCTGCCTTACCTACTTTCATGCTTTTCATTGCTTTCATTATTTTATCTATACTTATCTCCCCATCTCTTTCATCTTCTTTCGGAATTTCTATTTCATTTAGTTCACACTTCTCCTCACTCATAAATTCGCTTTCAAAATACTCCTTCCATCTCTTTAGACTCAAGACTTCATCATTCAGGATACAGCCATTCTCGTCTCGTATCGCATTCAATCTAGGCTGTTTTGAAAGTCCCCTGGTATTTCTTACGAGTTTCCAGAACATTTTAATATTTGCCTGGAAGTTATCCGATATTCTTCTATCATTCCTATCCGTTCTTTCTTGCTTTTTCCTTTCAACTAATTCTTTTACTCTCTTATTTAAACGTTTTTTAAACGTGGTAAGCTTAAATTGCTTGTAAAATAGTTTATAATATGGGCGGCAGGAAAAGGAGGGAAGCGGGCAGCGGATGCGCAACGGTTTGATAGCGGAGCAAGCGTACTGCGTGACGGGGCTGGCGCGCGTGCGCGAGGCGGGCGGAGGCGGGAGCGGAGGTGGCGAGGAGGAGGGCGGCGGGGTGCTGGTGCGCGTGCGCGCGCCGGGTGGGCGCGGCGAGTGGCGCGGTGCGTGGGCGCGCGGCAGCACGCAGTGGCGCGCACTGCCGCCCGCCGACCGCGACCTGCTCGCCGCGCGCACTCCCGAGCCTGGACACTTCTGGTACGTGACGAACCCCAATAAGCACCGCTCACTTTGTCACTTCCCACATATCGGGTGTCCAGTAATACACGGATAACCTTGAAATAGCATATAGTAGATTTTAAGGCCGTTCTAAAAATATATATATCCCAAGTAATACCTAAGATACAATATTCTAGAAAAAACTGCCTTTTTTTACTTATTTTACTTTCTTCTTCACCACGACCACAAATGAATGAATTCTATCGGTTATTTGTTATTATAATATTGTACGTAGACCGTGCCGTAAAAGAAGCAATAAATAGTGTTTTTTTTTAATAGGATTGGGTGACAAATGAGCACACAGTCCACCTGATGGTAAGTGGATGCTGTGGCCCATAGACATCTACATCTATCCTCGATAACGAATCAAAATGCAGATGAGTTGTCACCCGTGAGGATTAAGATGGAATGCCTCGTTTCCAGTAAAAAAGGTCTCCGGTTCTCTACACTTACACAGAGGTTGGACATTATTAAATTCGAGATATAACATTAAGAAATTCTTGTGTCACTCTATTCTCAAAAAATTGTTAAGTCAAAAAAATATTATCGGTGAGTCTGCGCAAATGTTAAAGGGATTGATTGACACCACCATTGACTGTTTTTTTGTTGGGCTCTGTACCGATATTTGGAGCGACAACGGCACAAACTTCGTGGGAGCCGCTAGAGAGTTGCGTACACTATTTGCATCTGAAAGGTCAGAAATCTTAAGAGAGGTGGCAGATTCATTGGCTTCACACGGCACTTCTTGGTACTTTATTCCACCACGGTCACGGAATTTTGGAGGGTTGTGGGAAGCCGGAATTAATTCTGTGAAAACACACTTAAGGAAGGTTATCGGAGACACAACCTTAACCTAAAAAGAGCTGTCTACAGTCTTGATTCAGATTGAGGCCTACCTGAATTCAAAACCTCTAACACAACTTCGGACAGACCCCGAATCAATGGAGGTACTAACTCCCGGCCATTTTTTGGTTGGAGAACCCTTGGTTAACTTACCAGAGAACAACTTTGAAACCTCCAACATCAGCAGTTTACGTAGGTGGCAACTCACCCAGAAGCTGATGCAACAATTTTGGCGACGATGGTCGCAAGAATACTTAAACCAGTTTTTACATAGGTACAGATGGTCTCAACAAACACCTGAACCGCAGTTAGGAGATATAGTGTTAATAAAAGAGAATGACTTACCTTCGTGTAAATGGCTCCTTGGTCGTGTGATAGCTAAACATCCAGGAACTGACAACATTACGCTTGTAGTCACTTTGCGAACTAAAAATACAGTTATCAAGGGATCAGTATCCAAGTTCTGTATACTTCCAATTGATACTGGACCTTCTGCTGACTAATAAAATATTTACTGTACTTCTTAATTTCTTATGGGTATCTGTAAAATATATTTTATTTGTAATGGGTAAATATACGTTATTTTGTTTTGTTTTTGGGTTGTGGCATGGTGGGCGGTTTAATTTTATTTTTTTATTTACATGTTAATGTTAATCAAGGACGAGTCTGTTTATATCGTCCTTGGTGGGCGGAATGTTTAGTGATTTTAGTTCCTAAGCACGATCATAGATGGCACTGGCTGTCTGTTGCTTCGCGCATTGTAAATACCTCACTCAATACTTCAATACAATGTAATTACCTCATAAAAAATTTGGTTTGCTAGTACTGTATATTGAAGTTTCATTTCAAATACATACCTACCTCGAACTACCTCGTCATACCTATCTTCTGGGTTATACAGCAATATAAAAATTCATTCATTTGTGGTTGTGGTAAAAAACATATCTTATGTACTACTCGGGACATATTTTTTTAGAATGGCATTAAGGTCTATTATGTGCTATTTCAAGGTTATCCATTCATTACCAGGAAGCCTGTATATTTAAACTTATAAAACATCTCTATTTCCTCCAACTTTATTACATAGAATGTACTTAACCCCTAAGATGTCGCGGCCATTTTAGCGAATATGGCGCATCTGTCAAGCACTTCCTGAAGTACTTCCAGACTACTTCCTGCTGTTCATTAAAATCACTATTTCCGAGATATTTTGTATAAAAGGTATATTAAAATTGTATATATACCATTGGAAACCTTATTAAATAAGCTATCAGATTATGTATAACTTGAACACAGGTTTTTTTTTAATTATGTGCGTGCAGCTATGCAGGTCTAGGTAAAGACCAGTATCACTGCGACCTAGAAGATCTATTGTGATCGCTGCTATGGCTATAGTTCACTGCTAAGCCCTATGTCTTCAATGAATCGAAGGAGTTGCTTAGCCGTGAGCAATTTCACTTCTTCTGGGCGGAGTAGATAGTGTCCCAGATGAGTGTTACGTTTACGCATTAAGGGTCCGCAATCAGTTAGGATGCGTAGAGGCGTTTCTTCCGTTATGGAACAGAACCGACACATCCTTGAGTTGCTTAGTCCCAGGATGGACATGTGCTTTTTAAGACAACAGTGTCCAGTTATTTTTACTTAATCCCAGGGCTTCTGAAGCGAATTTACCCGGATTAAGGTTTTAGAATGTTTTAAGCCTGGTGTGTCAGACCAGATCTTAAGTGATTTATTATGATAAAGAGTTTCAAGGGTCAATCGGGCTAGGCTTCTTGAGATTCCACAAAATGGCTCGGGTCCAAATTGTGTGCACTTTGAGCCCTCCCGTGCAAGTTTGTTGGCAAATTCGTTGCCTACAATACCCTCGTAACCCGGAACCCATCTTAAAACGACCCTGTTGGCTCTTGCCAGAATGCGCAATTTATTTTTACTTAATCCCAGGGCTTCTGAAGCGAATTTACCCGGATTAAGGTTTTAGAATGTTTTAAGACTGGTGTGTCAGACCAGATCTTAAGTGATTTATTATGATAAAGAGTTTCAAGGGTCAATCGGGCTAGGCTTCTTGAGATTCCACAAAATGGCTCGGGTCCAAATTGTGTGCACTTTGAGCCCTCCCGTGCAAGTTTGTTGGCAAATTCGTTGCCTACAATACCCTCGTAACCCGGAACCCATCTTAAAACGACCCTGTTGTTACAACCCATGGCGTTTAAACTGTTCACGCAGTCTCCAACTTGATCTCAGCGCTAGCAGTGCTGCTTGACTATCAGAGTTTATGTAAATTTTATGGTTGACGTAGTGTTTTTGCAGATTGATTTCCGCACACCGAAGTATGGCGACCGTAAATTCCAAACCCTACGTCGAGGCCCATTTTAGACCCATCGGTATACCATATGAGGCTACCGGCCTCACAGATAACCTGGCCATTCAGCCAGTCTCACTTTTTATCAAAAGTGTATAGTGGACGCATGATATCTGAGATCATGCATAAGACCGGTGATTCCTTAATTGAGTCGAGCATGGATCTCAATCTGTAGGAGAGCAAGCCCTCGCCTCCTTGTCTAGATAGAGATCAAGGGGCGTAAGGCATAGAAGTGCATTAAGAGCCGCTCCAGGCAATGGTCGCATAGCTCCAGTTGCCATTAGGCAGGCAGTCCTTTGTAGACTATTTAGTCTGTCGGCAGTCGTCTTTTGGTTGGCCTTGTTACACCAGACAATAGAGGCGTAGGTGAGAATCGGCCTCACTATGCTGCTGTACAGCCATAGGACCATACTGGGACGCAAGCCCCAGTTGTTCCCGACTAAACGACTGCACGTACCTAAAGCAATTTTTGCCTTATGGCATACGTTGCGAAGGTGAGAGTTCCACGTTAGTTTTTGGTCGATTGTTACGCCCAAGTACTTAACTTCTGTGGAAAATGGTACTTCTTTGCCATTAAGTTTTGGTTGGAACTAATTTGTCCAACCGTCTCTTTTTGGTAAAGGGTATTATTATAACAGTTTTATCAGAATTAACTGATAAACTGTTATCCCTACATCAGTTATTTATGGTGTTTAGCTCTTTGTATTATTGACGATAAAGTACTTTGGCAAAAGCCCCTTGCAATGATCACAAGGTCATCAGCATAACCCAATGTGTCAATGCGTAGGTCTGCCATTTTGTACAATAGTTGGTCAACCGCAAGAGTCCAAAGAAGGGGTAACAAAACACCTCCTTGTGGGCAGCCTCTCGTGGTTGGAACCTCAATCGAAGTTTGAAACAGCGCTATTTTGCCTTTCTGTTTGAGAGCATTCACCCATCTGATGGTTGTGGAGTCAACATTTTTATATGTTAGGTCCCCAATCAGCAGTGATGTGGGGCTACTGTCCAAGGCGCCCTCAATATCTAGAAAGGCACAAAGAGCTATTTCTTTATCCTCCAGTGCTTTTTCGACCCTGTCAATGACACTGATCAGGGCTGTTTCCGTAGATTTGCCTCTGCGGTAAGCATGCTGTTTGTAATGTATGGGCCTCGTAGCTAGAGCTACATCCCTTATATATCTATCTATAACCTTTTCCAATGTCTTAAGAAGAAAGGAAGATAGGCTTATAGGTTTAAAGGACTTTGGTAAAGCGTAGTCCTTTCTACCAGCCTTAGGTATAAATAGAACCTTGACAATTGTCCATCGTTCTGGAATATATCCCCATGCAAAACTTGCTCTGAAGATTTTCACCAGATAAGGAAGAAGGATGTCGATACCCCTCTGTAGTTGGATGGGAATTTTTCCATCCTCCCCGCTTGATTTAAATTGTTCAAAGGAGTCAACAGCCCATTGCACCAGGTTTGGCCTTATTATCTTTGCAGGTCTACGCCAGTCCTCATTGCAAGGCCTTCGTAGGGCTCTGAAAGAGTTCAAGGCTAAAGTCTTGTATGACCCTGGGAAATGGGTTGACGCTAGTAACTCCAATGTTTCTGTTTCACTATTAGTGAAGTTACCATCCGGCTTTTTAAGAAGCCCGATCTGATTAGGTTTAGCTTTCGATAGCATCTTGTGTAGTCTTGCACTGCGAGGCAAAGACTCAACTTCCTCGCATAGCTTCCTCCACGATGCTCTTTTGGCTTTCCTAATTTCTTTATTATATTCAGTTAGGGCTGCACT